TATATTTGTAATATTTACCCATCTGAATTCTAGTTTGAGCATGAAAGACATTAGCTTGCATTTGAGTCCGTCCTGAGAGCAGTGTGAGGTAACAATGAACAATTGTTGCACATCAGTGGGCTTCTCATCATTACAACAGCTCTAAGTTGAATTATGACTTGGACTGGCAGTTCGAAAGGGGGCAGATGGATTTGTCTTGTCATAAATATTGAGTTAATTTAGTTATAATGCAAATCATTATTGGTTTGTTTTAGAATTATTAAATTTCAAATTTTGTCATTTGCATATCCCTATCTAATGCCAAGTATCTTTCTCGTAATTTGCCTCACCAAACGTTGATAGGCTGTATTATCGGAAAGGCGAACACAGGCAATGTATATAGGTGGTTTAGTGATGAATGAAAGGTCCATGTGAGAATGCTTCTTGCTGTTGGTGTAAATCTGCTATTTAATAATTTATTCTGATACAAATACTGAAGCACGACATGTGTATTGAATTTATTCATCACTGTCCATTATTTTGTGTCTACCCATCTGAATTGTTTTCAGATGATGTCATAACATTATTTAGATTCAGTTAGTTAGAAAATACTACCCACTAAATCTTTTTTTGTTTTACTTTCATCTATGCTCATGTTCTCACTTTTTGAAGTTTTCTTTTTTAACAATTCAAGGTAACAAAAGCAGTTTGGTTTTGTTTTACAAACATGCAAATCATGACTGGTAGAAAAAGACACTCTGGTTCACCCAGGGTGATCTAGCAAATTGTGATTCCTACCTAGCCCATTCTCATCCCACCCAAAATCATTTCCTGGGAGAAATGAAGGCCAGTGTTAATGTGGTGGGATGGGTGCAATCTGAACTTGTTTTATAACCCAACACCCCCCACCACCCCAAACCCCTTAAATTATCAGAACTAGTCAAAGGAGATCATCTGACATAAACAATGTTATGCCGTACTGACCACCTTGTACAAGGTGATTTCTGCCCCAGCTAGGAGCAGGTCCACTTCTCACTTGATGGAATTTGGCAATTTCAGTCCGTCCACTGCACGAACTGGCAACATGTTCTAGTTGACTGATATTCTCTAGAAAATGCCTCCAATGATCTAACCTAGAGTCAAGCCTTAACTTCCCTAATTCAGTCAATTGTAAAAAAACTATTCACTGTAGCTGTGGCACAGTTGAAAGCATTCAAGCCTTTTGGCTGGTAGGCAAAGGTTCCATACAGAGCTGAGCATGCATGTTTAGGCTGATATTTTAATATAATGCTAACTGAATGCAGCTCTGCTGGCAATGCCAGCTTTCAAATGAGACATTAAACTGAGGCCTAGTTTGTGCTGTCAGGTAGTGTTAAAAATCCCATGAAGCTATATTGAAGAGCAAGAGAATTATCCTTGGCCTTCTGGCCAATGTCTAACCACCAGCCAACATCACTAAAAAAGATTATCTGGCTGTTGTGCAAGCTTGCTGTGCACGTATTTGCAACTGCATTACCTATGCTGCAACTGTAACTATGTATGCTTCAAAGAACTTGATTGCATGATACTTTGTCCCAGAGGAGTGATCTGATTTAAGTTTAAATTTAGGCTAAATCTGTACTTCCCCGAATGTGGAGCCCTGTTCAATTGCAGTTCATAAAAATGTTACAAACTGGGAATTAATCTTGCGGCCCTCCTCTGTACATTTTTTTTCCCCAAAGTCTTGATATCGCCCATATTAAGAGAGAAAATCCAAACAAGGCATTCTGAAGCCTGAGTAAGGTCTTGTATATGGGCAAAATACTTACTTGGGAAGTCTGGGCTTTGGTGGGTGGTCAATATGAATAGGCTTATTTGTAGCTACCTTCAAATCTTTGTAAATCTGATTTAGTTGAAGCTGAGTCATGTAACTTCATTCTAACCCAGTGAGCTACCTGGATTAAACCCAATATTGTGAAATTTCACAATGTACATTTTATTAAGAAGCAAGCTGATCAAACTGTGTCACCTTGTTTCCTAACAAGTTATATTATATTTTCATAAGCGGAATGAAAAACATCTATTCTTTTGATAATTGTGGCCTTCATTCCAAGACTGGATTTTAGTACTGAATTAGAAAGTTCTCAGGAAGGGTCACTGGACCCGAAACTTTAACTCTGTTTTTGTTTTCTTCTCAGATGCTGCCAGATCGGCTGAGCTTTTCCAGCAACTTTGTTTTTGTTCCTGATTTACAGCATTCGCAATTCTTTCGGCTTTTATTTAGAAAGTCATCAATGTACATTTATGCTACAACTATGCTGGTTTTACTTTGCATCAATTTTACATAGCTTGAAACTAGAGCCAGGGCTTAACTTCATGCTGGAACAAGGCAAGATAAGAGTACTTTGGATTTTCACTTCAAAGTCCGTCTGGACTTCAATGCCCACACTGCACAGTACAGGTTTAATAATGAAATAAACCCGAGACCACTTCTCATCAACACACATTGCAGTGTAATGGTACCCAGAAAATTTATGGGGACTGATAATCCAATTTCTCAGACTGGACATCTATTATGCTGAGACACAGGATCTGAAAGTATTTAATGTTGCATAAGAGATAGACACTGCATTCTAGAACCGACCTCCAAGCGTAAAGATCACAATTTGTGACGTAAACAAAGTAAATGTGGCTTTTTGTAAATGTGGGCTTGCTCTGGATTTTTTTTTTTTTTTTTTTTTTGAAAAAAAATACAAGTAACCATGATTTTTGACTTGTTTCTCCCTTCCTCTCGAGGGGTGCAAGAAAGGATTGTGACATCAAAAAAAATGGTGTACACTTCCACCCAAGGCAGACATGGGCTTCTAACCAGCATTGAAACTGTACAGCCATTGGATCATCTATTCCTTGAACCAAATTGGTGATGTAAGACTTGTAGGGTGGGGGAAACTAACATTTCTCTTGATTGAAGGAGACATAAACTAATCTTCCTAGTCTGATTGTTGTCAAGGGAAAATCTTTAATTTTTTATCTGTTCTCAGGAGTGCATCTTGCTCATGTTTGAAAGGTCCCTTTCCAATTATAATTGAGTTGCAGTAAAACCTAGGGAAAAATTCTGAAAGGTTTTCCAAATAGGTTTAATACTGTTATTGGACAAAATTAGAAAACTGGGGTTAATTTTAAAAAATTGATGACATACTTTAAAGATTGGAATTTTTAGAAGAGTTTAATTTTAAATTCCTTTCATAATACTTTTTGACTATTATTAGTCTGCAGGGAAACTGTCCAATTTTAAAAGCTCTAGTTTACACTGTGCAGTGATAAACTCTCTTGTTTAAACTTTTATAAGCTCCTGGACAATAATCCTTCTACTCCCAGCTATTTAAAAGGAGACCCAGCCCAGAAAAATTGGCACTTCCTTTTCACATTGTTGAAACCACTTTGCCAAATGGACTTGCAGAGAAACTTGAGATTTGCCTTGATCAAAGGAATTTGCACTGATCTTTATCGATTTCTGTTCCAGTGTTATCGTACTTCCAAATGATCTGATGGGTGTGCGACTCTATAAATTTGTAGGATCGGAAGGGATGATAATTGTAATATTTCACATGTTTTTAAAAAAACTACCTGAAATTCTAATTTAGTTTTAAATTCTATAGTAGCTGCTTTTTTGTTTTACATTAAAACCTTTTTTCTGATGTTAACCATTTTCAAAAAGCCTTAAATCTGATTCTTGAATTAACAAAGTACTATACAAAAGTTTAAAGACATAACAGAGAAGAAAATGCAAATACAATACAATTTGCACTCACATTGCACTTCATATAATAAAACCTCCCAAAGTATTTCACAGGGTTGGTATTGAACAAAAATTTACTAATCTGCAAAACATATTGAGACCAATGACCCAAAGCTTGGTAAAAGAGATGGGTTTTAAAGAGATAACAAGACGTGGAGCTGGATGAACACAGCAGGCCAGGCGGCATCAGAGGAGCAGGTCAGACCCAAAACGTCAGCTTTTCTGCTCCTTTGCTGCCTGGCCTGCTGTGTTCGTCCAGCTCTACACCTGGCTATCTCAGATTCTCCAGCATCGGCAGTTCCTACTATCTCTGAGTGGGTTTTAAAGAGTGCTTTAAAAGAGGAAAGATGGGTAGAGAGCTTGGGGGAACGAATCCCAGAACTCGGGAGGCTTTGGCAGCGAGAGGCAGAGCCACTTATGAAGCAAACTAGTAATATGTGGCTGGTTGACATGCATGCGAAAGACAAAGAATTTTATTTTTCTTCCTGGAGGCCTCCATGATGGTACTTTGTCATATTACGTCCTAAAATAATCTTGGGTAAAAATGTGTTTTTGGTGTTAAATGAAAGGATTTTTTTTCTCATTTGATATTTTTGTTCGTACAAGATAAATTGTGAAATAACAATGAACAACCTGGAAAACAAATCACAAGAATACAAATCCCAAATTTGTGACATGTACATGCAACCCAATGAGATGCAAGTGTATGCTTTTCTAATGCTATTCGTAACCTGGTTCTCAAAATTAGTCGTCCTATCCATTTTGACGATCATAGCTATATTCACTTGCTACCTTAAACTTGGAATGTGGAGGAATAAAAGAGGTAGTTTTTAAATTGTAAAATATTACCTTACCACTAAGAGGAAAATGCAATAATCTGACACTAGTGAATTACCTGAATAGAATAGCTGTCTTTACTTGATTCTAGGTTTGGATCAACCTGAAACAAAAACTGAAATTGCTGGCGAAACACTGCAGGAATGGCAGCATTGGTGGGAAGAAGGTAGAGTTAACTCTTCAGCTCTGAAGAGTCACTTGACTCAAAACGTTAACTCCGCTTTCTTCCCACTGATGCTGCCAGACCTGCTGAGTTTCACCAACAAAATTTCTGTGTCAGATCGCAAGCATCCACAGTTCTTTATTTTGTTTTGGTTAACTTGATGTCTCTTAGAACAAAGAATATTGTGATTGTTTGCTAAACAAATAACTGCAGTTTGTTGAAATATTTTGTTTATTTTAACAGCTATGGTGGCTGCAGGAAAAACTTACTTTGACGGCATTTCAAAATTGGCAGAATTGAGCTCTCAGTCACCAGTTTCCAAAGAGCTAGGTAAGGTACATGTGAACCCATGGTTGGATTTTATATATCAATCCACATGTATTTGCAGGGAGATAATTCACTTTTATGTTTATAAATTGTTTCATGTCAAGAAAATCTTGGTGTTTCATTCATAGTCAATTTACTTCACAATGAAAGCACTGTACTGCAGGCAAACCTGCACATTGTTATTTGGTAGTCTGCTAAAACTATGATGAATGACCAGTTAATTTCTACTTTAAGGTGTCTGTCAATGATGGTATGGTGTCACTGTTTTTAACTCCACTCTTCAAATTGATTTTAAATAGGTTACTTAATCATTATTTCTAATCTTTATACCAAACCTAAAATATACTTGTTAATTAATTTCACAAAGCTTGACGAATGACTTAAAAAATGTAGGGTAGCGTATTGCACAATTTCCACTGGAGTACTTGTGGAAAAGAACAAGAGTCAATATTATACCCTGGATTGTTTTAGGATAAAGGTTATTATGTATTCATGCTCTTTTAAAGTGCAATTAAATGTTTGCATTGTGAAGTATAACTTACGTTTTTATGGATGGTTTTGCTATAAAATGTTCTGATTAAAATCTGGAGGTAGAAGTATTCAAATAGAGATAGACAATCCTGATTTTGTTCACTGTTTCTATTAATTGATTTTTTTTAAAAAAGTGAAAGCTTTGTGATCTCTAAGTCAGAGGTATTGCTGCAGACTAAGGACTGTTGAAGTTTACATAATCTAATTCAAAATACTAATTCTGTTTTGCCAATTTCCTCCCTCTCTGCCTCCCCACCAACAACATGACTGCCCATCTTGGCTCCTGATTTCTTCTCTAATTTTGCCATTATCTGTTCTAAATGGTCACTTGAAGTATATAAGGCGCACAATTCGTTTTTTTTATGTGCAGGTCTGCATCTACCTGCTTAGTAACTTAAATTAATTTCACTTTAACATTTGCATATTCACATTTCATATTCTGTCTATATCACTACCCCATTTTCTTTCATTTTCATCTTCCTTTCCTGAAGAAATCCAGCAGAATGGCAGCAGAGAAGGTAGAATTAGTCACCAATGCCTGCTGATACTATTTCAGTATGGGTTTGTACTTGATACAAACGCAGGCCAGACACTCTGGTTCTTTTAAAACCATGTTTATTAACAATACATGCATGATAAGGCAGCAGAGCACCCCACTCTTGTATCAGTTTCAGTTGTCTAGCAGGAGTCCTATCTCATGACTATTGGGGTCACAGTTACGTCACAACATACTTTTGTATGGTTTGTAATGGCAATGAGGGGGGTTAACATTAATTGGCTCTATCCATTCTATGGAGTTCACCCAGGTCTAGAGGAGGAGACTAGGAACTCTACAGTGGCTTTTGGAGGGAGAAAGTATATCTGTGCCAGCGCCAAGTAATTATATCTGTAGTTGCGCTGTCATGCAGTAAACCTTCTTGTAATCCAAGAACACATTCTTCTGTATTTACTCTATCCCTCATCACAATATAGGCCCACAACAAAGCAAAGACAAGGGAGGATTTGTGGCAGCAAGCTACCTCAAGTAGTCCTTACTCAGTACTACACTAGAAGTGATAGCAAACACCACAAGGTACCAGTAATGGCCAGCTGGGACAATATCCTATATCTCAGACTCTTACATATTCATTAAACCCTGCCTATACAGATACCTTGCCGCCTAAACTAAAATTCTCTCCTGTCACGCCACCACTTGCCAAGACTGCCAATGGCTAATACTTCCCCACCCATGAAATGAAAATGCCCACAGGGTGTAGGATCCCAATTATTTTCCCATCTCTCTGGTTGCTGATTAGATTTTAAAGCAAAAGAGAAAATCTATTCCATATATGTACTAATTTAGTTTATTACCAAAACTGCACACTCTATGAACTAGATTGTTAGGTAGATGCCAGCAATGTGGAAAGTTGCCCAGGCATGACCTGTCCATAAATAGCAGAACAAAATCAATCTGACCAGTTGCCACACCCAACAGTCTACTCTAGGTCATTAGCACAGTGATAGAAAGAATGTGTTTTTGTCATTGCTGTATGAATGATATTTGACGGCAATAACTTGTCATCAGTGCTCAGAGCCACCTTGCTCCTGATATCATTACAGCTTTGTTCCAAACATGGAAAAAAATCTGAATTGCACAGGTAAGGTGCGAATGACTTCCCTAGAAGTTAAGGCAGCATTTAACTAAGGGTAGCATCAGATCCAACAAAGTTGAAGTGAATGGGAGTCATAGGGAGAACACTCAACTCATTACATTCAGAGCTGGCTAAAAGGGAGATGGATTTAGTTGTTGGAGGCTAATCACCCCAGCGCCAGGATGTCAATGCAGGAGTTCCCCTGGGTAGTTTTCTAGGCCTGGCCAACTTCACCTGCTTCTTCAATGATCTTCCCTGCACCATAGATTCTCTAATGATTGAAGTCTTCAATACCATTTTCAATCACTTGGATTCTGGAGCTATCCATGTCCATATGAAGTAAGACTGGGACTGCAGTCACTGAATCGTCCACCATCAAAATTCTGAGAGTTAACATTGACCAGAAACTTAACATTCTAGGTATTTAAATACTGTTGGGTCATAGCAGGCTAGAAACTTAGCAATGAATAATTCACTGCTGTGACCTAGAGTCTTTCCCTCATTTACAAGATACAAGTCAACAGTCTGATTAAGTACTATGCAATTGATTGGATGAGTTCGCTTCCAATAACGCTGAAAACCCAGGATAATGCACCCTACTCAAATGGCAACCCATATGCCAGCTTGAACATTAACAACTTTACCACTGATGCACACTTGCAATGGTATGTACCATATACCATTTGCATTGCAGCAACTCACTAAAGCTCCTTCACAGCATCTTCCAATTCTGAGACCTCGACCACTTAAAAGAACAAAAGCAGAAGAGATGTGGGGAACATCGCCTGTAAGTTCACATCTAGGCCACACACCATGCTGAGTAGGACCTATATTGCCATGCCTTCAACATCACTGCCGTTCCCTTTAACCTGTGCAACTACACATCCTGTGCAAGGGTCTGCACATGCTAATCAACATGTCAACATGTTGACTTCCGCCTGGAGTCACTGAGCACAGACCTCCGATATCTGCACAGCAGGAAAATAATCTTGGGAGAGATGCTGAATATCACTGGGTCAAAATTTTGGAGCTCCTTCCCTAATAGGACTTTAGGTGTACCTGAAGCAGATGCTCTGTAATGGTTGAAAACAGTGGTCTACCTGCTTGAGACAACAAATGCTGGGGCTTATCAACAATGTTCACATTTCTTAAAATAATTTTTTAAAATGTTCTCAATTAGCCATTTAAAATTTGGATTTTGCAATGCCGATTTAAAAAGTTAATTGCAAATACAGCACATCACAGCTCTAGGTGAATGTTCACTGCAGAAACATTGTACAGTATACTAGAAAAGTGTTTACTTCCAAATCCTTTCACTGTTTTGAGCATTCCATAACATTTAGCTTGAGGTCTTGAGCATTGTTTTCACAGTGGTACATTGTGCAAGGAATTAAACCTCAAATAAATAACTGTTTAACAACAAAATCTGCTTGCTGTTTTGAAGTTTAGTCAACCATCCAATGGTTCGTTCTAAGTACTGAAGTGTGACTTTTCTCACTTTGTATGCATACAATCAGCAATGTAAATATGCCAGGCAAACACAGTCTTTGTATTGCAAAATCACTTCAAAAAGCAATTCTAAAAGACAGATGTTGCCATGAAACCTACTTTTTGTTTTAAACATTTAATAATGTATTCAGAAGAACTCTTGCACAACAAACTTCTTGTACAGAGTGCAAGCATAGTTGTTTAGAATTTGAAATCAATAAACGGTGATTGTCCATACTGACCACTGCTTTTTTTTTTGAAAAAATAAAATGAAGAACTGCGGATGCTGGAAATCTGAAACTAAAACAGAAAATTGTTGGAAAAACTCAGCAGATTTGGCAGCACGTGCAAAGAGAAAGCAGAGTTCATGTTTTGAGTGCAGTGACCCTTGTTCAGAACATTATGCCATGATGTAACTGTGGCTGCAATCATGAACTAGTCTCTCCTAGAAAGTTGGAACCCTGTACAGCAGAGTATTACTGTTCTGTAGCCTTACATCCTGTACAAACTGTAAATAAATGCCTATTACTCTGGCCTGAAGTTGTATGAAAATCCACACTAAAACAAGGATGACAGATACAATTGTTTGCAGCCAAAGGAAAAGAAAACTTTTATATTTAGAACTTTTAATCTTATTTCCCAAAGAATTCCTAAGCTCATTAAGTACTTTTGAAGTGCAGTCACTGTTGTAATGCAATGTACAGCAACTAATTTTAAGCATGTATCTTGCTGCTTGCTAGGTCTTCCTTGATACATGTTATTTTCACTAAATTTTTTGAGAGGAATACTGACCACAATGGCCTGACTTTGTTAAAATGTACTATGGGATATTTTAAAGACAGAATCCATGTTAAATATCTCAGCCAAAAGGTGATGCCCTCCAACAGTGCAGCACTTGCTTACTACTGCATTGAAATGTCACCTCAGAGGGGCAGGTGTCATTTGGATTTTGAATTTCTCCATGACCATTGTAGCTGTTTCCATTTCAGCTTAGATGCACTTTGGAGGTAGGATTTTTATCTGAAGGAATACTTGAGGTAGTTAACATGACTAAATAGAAAGGATTGTTTTTGTTAGATAGTTGGAGTCTGAGGGGCAATCTGAAAGAAGTATATAATCTTAAGAGGCATTAATAGGGTAAATAGTTAGAATCTTTTTCCCAAGGTGGTTGTGTCAAATACTAGGGGACATAGGTTTAAGGTGAGAGGGGAAATGTTTTTAAAGGAGATGTGCAAGGCGAACCTTTTACACAGAGGGTGGTAGTGCCTGGAGCATGCTCCTGGGGAGGTGGTAGAAGAAGATACATTACAATTTAAGAGGCATTTGGACAGAGACATGAACTGGCAGGGAAAACA